TGTGTGTGTGTGTATATGTACATAAGTACTTCAGGATTGTAATCTCAACTGTATGTGCCTCCCATGGCCTCAGGTTGACTTCTTTGCACCTGGAGTGAAGTTAAAGCCCCTTGGCTGGGAAAGGAGATCAAACACCAGTTCTCACACACACACAAACACACAGCGACTTGCAGACAGGCTATCATATCAGCCTTCACAGACAGACACCTCAAACAGTGCCAACTGTAAATGTCTGGGACAGCCTTTCTGTCAATCCTCATGTGAAACAAGATATGCTCCATTCACGGTTGCCGTGGAATCGGGGTGTGGCATGCAGGTTTGAGGAGTCCATAATCCCACCCCTTGATAACAACCCACTGTAAAGCATGGTGGGCTGATGATAGCTACAGTGCCACACTACTATGAAGGTCAGTGCAGGAATGTAGGGAGGGACACACTCCTCTAATCCCTTTTCCTCCCCTCCACTGGTGCTCCCATGACCTTCATCTCTCTCTCTCTAAAGGGAGGATAGTGCCGGCTTTGAAAAGGAGCCAGGTTGATGAATTGGAGAGGATGTGATGCAGGGTGTGCGGCAACTCCCACATGAGTGAGATTTTGGGGGTAATGTCTTCCACTGGACCAATACACTAAATGCAGTTTCACTCTCAACCTTTCAGTGTGTTGATCTCTAACATCTCTGTCATGGTGTGATTTCTTACTCTCCTGTCTGCAGGCCTGGGGAAATTAGTTTCACTCTCTCTGTCTCTGGCAGGGAGTGTGAACTGTGTTTGAGCTGTCTTTGTGTATGACAAGTGCAACGGGATACTAGGCCACCCATAGGCCTCAGGTAAATTACACCCTGTCATTGTGTGTGTGTACATGTGTGCATGCGCATTGTGTACATGCTACTCCGGGGCCACCCGTAGTCCTAGGTAAATTACACACTTGAGTTTCACCATATGTTACCAGTGAAACGACACGACCGTCTGCTCCTCTCTGACTGTCCCATGGGCCTGACAGGGGGCTCCTGCTGCCATCACTCTCTCTTTGTTACACACTCACACAGACAACCTGACAGTGCGACAGCTGTTAGGAAACATTACATTGCAAGCAGCTGATGCCTGAAGTTGAACAGGCACATATCACAGTCATTTTAATAATGCGATCCTGTGTGTGAGTGGGTCTGGCAGCGCTACCAGGGTCACGGGTTGATTTCCAGTTGGGGCCAAGCATCCTAAAAATGTTCGGATAAAAGTGTGGCATATGGCATATGTTGACCGGCGTCCATAGAGCAAGAGTGACTGTACAAGACAGGATTGCGTTTGCTTAAGAGTTCTCCAGCAATTGAGCACTGCACCTCAACAGAGTTCAGGGATTTACGAAAAAGAAGAGATCATAAGCAATATAGCAGAGGGTTACAAAAGGGTCAAGCTTGAAAAAATACTTTCTTTGTTCTTTTGTTCTTTGACTTTGGTCTGTGCCTGGGATATGCCCATGTCTATCAATCTTCACACCCCGTCACGTCACTTGAGCAATTTTCATAGACTTGACAAAGCTCCTCTAAACCAAACCACAAAAGACATTACATGATGTTTTCACAGGCTGTGTAGAACTCCCTGTGAACTGTACATAGACTTGTGTTTCTTTAATTTGGACACTATATTATTTAATGGGTCACATGTTCTAGCATTACAGTGAACACGAGCACTGTAGTTTTACAATTTTTGAGTCAATCCCATATACAAAATCCTGCTGCTCACTAAAACACCAAATGTGTAGCCATTTGCAGCTGAAAATAGTCCCCAACAGCATTTCCGTCTGTTTGAGTAAAAGCTACAGTGCCCAGCTGTCTTAAGAATTTTGTTTGAGAAAGTAAAGTATGTATTTGGGCCACCGACTGTCTGGGGACGTCAGAAAGTATTGAAAGATGAATTAACGCATAGCTGGTTTTGGTCTTTTCATGGCATTAGTTGACAGTAACAAAAATATCGCCATTATACCTTTGACACCTGTGGTGACAAGATAAATGGATCGTAATCCATTTACAGCCATAATTACCGTATCACCTAATGTGTTCCAGAGAAATAAAAACTGAAGAAGGTTTAACAGCTCTGGCCTTGATAAATAGCAGGCCCTCAGTCAGGAACACTGTGACCAGACCTGAGGTGAAAATAACCTTTTGCTTGAAGGTAAGAAAGTATAATAAGTAATCTATGTAATACTGCCTGAAAAAAATATATAATTTATGTGCCTGCAGGCTGTGCGCATTAAGATGAAAAGAAAACAAGTGACACCAACAGCAACAATGTTTGTTCTGGAGACATTCACTGACAAACTTATTATGTATTGACACGGTGCCACACAATATTTCTGCCCAGCCCAAACAGCATTCCTTCACGTATTTAGGTCACAACTGTCTGAATTTGTCCTTTATGTTTATATGTCCTCTTTTATCATATTTGTGTGTATTTTCTTCTTTTAGGATGTCCCTGTCCACATGCTGTCCAAGATAAGAGCACCCAAGGCTGTTTGATGCATTCTTTACATTTCCTTGGTATCACTTCTTTTTCCTGCCACAGCCAAATGTGTGTGTGTGTGTGTGTGTGTTCAGTTGTGTTTTAACAACTCAGGACATGTGAGCCAGGTCATAACACAGCACATCATTCGTTATGATGGATTGTTATTCCTGTTTGGTCATAATGACCCTGCCTGGTACTAAAAAAACAGCCATGTGGTCTAAAAGTACGCTTCTGCTTTGATGTAAGGAAAAGAAAGAAAGAAATATTATGGCAGAAATACGAGCAATATCATTTCCTCGCCTCTGAGGGGCGCCCTCAGCTTTTGTCTTCCTACTACTACTTGTGTGAAGCTTCCAATTCCCCTGCACAGCTGGCCTTCTTCTCTCCTGAGCTGTAATTGCAACTCTGTCCTGGGAAATAGAGGGAGGAAATCCCTGAGCTTTCGCCGCGCAACAATGACAATAAAAAAAAGGTGAGCAAAAGAGGAAGAAAGCGTTTCAGCTGAGATGAAAGAAGGAGGGAGGCTAAGGAGGAGAAGGGAGGTGGAGGAGTGCTGGCTCAGGAGTGCAAAAGTGCGGTGGAGGTAGAGATGAAGGAGAAAGCAGGGGAGGAGGGATTGTGTTGGTGATGGTAGTAAACGCTTGAGTTTATTAACCTCATTTAGTTGAGAGGCTGAGAGTGAGGGGAAGGGGAGGAGTGGCGCGTTCATACTGTGAATGCAGGGCTGGAGTTTACTAATGAGGGCTGAAAATGCACACACACTGCTCTCACACACACTTTCCTTAGCTCATTCCCTTGCTCATACCAGATTTACCTTGATCTGATGCCAAGTATGCAGGCAGAACACACATTTACAGGACTGGGTACTGCCAGCTTCATCTTACTGCCTCCCCTCATTTCTTTTCTCTCCTATCAAGCTGCAGCTGAGAGGAAATTTTACACAAATTGCTATTGATATACATAGAGGGAGTGGATAGGGTAGAGTTTATGCTCACAATCGTCTGATTCCCAGCCAAACCCACATATTTTTAGACTGCCTGACAATCTGAAGTGTATATTTTGTCATGTGTTGCGAATGTAGAGTGAAAAATATTCACATTATTGGAAATTCAGA